TGTCACTTTTGCATTACTATGTAGGAACTCTAAATGAAGCTTTTGAAAGTGACATTTAACAAAAGAGCAAAGGTTGAGGATTCCAGGGAAAGTCACACTGAAAAGATAACACTGCACGGACTTTAAAATTAAAGTTGGCAAAGAATAAATGAAGCTTGCAAGACACTGTTACATTTTATCCATGCTTCAAAATGCATGAATATCTTGAAATATTAGCTGGGTTTGAAGGTTATAGGAGAAGCAAAAGAGCCATTTTCGGTTGGAGGTAAGGGCTGTTATCTTTAGGGATGTGCAGATTTCCCTCCATTCTCTTCCTTTATTGATCCACAAGGTCTTTCTGCTTTGCATTCACCTATTCTCCTTCCTTAAGTAAGATAATATTTAAAATGAATTCTGGCATGGAAGGTGCACAGTCTGCCTCAACGTTTTGTTCCATCAATTTCTTTCCACCTCTTCTCTCCTTGACATAATAAGTGTGCAGCGTCTGGTCCTTTTATGGACGTCCTGATGGATGTTGACAAGGTTTTAGGAGCTGTGAAGGCCACCACTTATATTTTGGACTCATGTTCCCCCTGGCTAATAAAAACTTGCCAGGATAGGGTGAGGGAGCCTCTAATGAAAATTATTTACACCTCATTATATAGGGTTGCCAACCCCCCACCCCAGTTTGCCAGGGGTCCCCCACTTGGGGGGGGGTTCTACCCTCCCCCAACACCCACAGCCACCCCTCTCCCTTCTCTCTTGAGAGAGAGGGGTGTCTGCCTTTAAGTGCATGAAGCCCACGTTCCTCCCAAGCCCGATCTCCGCTTGAGATCAGGCTTGCAGGGAAATGCCAGCTCCATGCACTTAAAAGGGAAATGCCGGATCTTTGCTCTTAAAGGGGAAATGCTGGCTCTGTGCATTTAAAAGGGAAACGCCGGCTCCTTTAAGTGCAGGGAACTGGCGTTCTGGAGATCGGGTGCGCGGGCGGGCGTGGGGGCGGTGGACGTCCCCAACATGACATCAAGTCGGGGATGCCCCGCCCCCTCCAGGAACACCCCCAAAGTCCCCCGCTGGGGGCGGAAGATGGACTTGGCAGCCCTATCATTA